CTTCATTTGAAAATTATCGTTTTTTTAAATTCTGGCCTAATGACAGTTTATTGGTACAGAACGTTCAGTTGATGGATACAGATGCTTAACAATTATTTCAACTTTAAAGTTCATCTGTTGCCTTTTGTGACCTTGATCTACCATCAATATCATATATCTCGCAAAATGTTATGTGATTATGTATTATGGGATGGACACCAAATATTTTCAAATAAACTGTTTAATAGTGTTCCAGAAACACTAAGATCGAGAAGTGACGGAGTATATCGCCGGTCACGGGATCTTGAGCGCCAGTTAAATGTTGACCCACCAGGATGATAGAGCTACCTTGCGAGCGTCCAAGGTAAAGTTTTATTAATTAATGGCATCATTTTAACTACTAAAGAGATAGGGGATAAACAAAAAAACATTGATATGAAAATAATTATTTTTTCTATTTCATTTTCCAATAGTTATCCTATATTCAATTTCAGCTTATATTATAGAGCAACGCCCCTTTTTTGCGTCGTTTTCGTGTATTTGTTTTATGTTCAAGCAATATAACAACGACGGTCTCCTCATGTTACCAAAGAATTAGCTCTGTGTAATTCCGCTGTTACCAGGAGTTGAACTATAGTAATGATTCAAGATGTTTACCAAGGAAATATGAGTGGAATATTGCCCTGCAATGTTTCCTGACAAAAGGAAGACTTAAACCAGTCATGATTCAAATCCGTATGATCTTAGTTTTCCCTTTGAGAGAAAAACAAAACCTATGTAGACCAATCTCATGTTTCTTCTTATTAAATGGAACCCTCTTCTGCTTCTAGTATCGTATTTACTCGTTTTTTGTTTTCCTCTGATGATTTCATGTTGTAGTTTTGTTGTCAAAGCTGCACAATGGTCTGTCTACGCTGAGCCCGCCACGAACATCGAACCACGAGTTTTACCGTTAAGCTCTCAACCATTACACCTGAGACAATGATTCAGAAAACACTGAATTCGTAACACACGAGTATAATCAACATGGAAACAGTAACCCTGTGTTTAATACACGCAAAATAAAGTAACTGTCCAACATGACCTTTATAGTTTTGCTCTTTTGCTTTAAACATACTAACCCTCCCCCCGAAAATATTTCTTGGATAAAACAACTGAACACTTCCACTCACTAAATTTATAATATTTATCTTCTTATGATCTTGGCCGAATCTGTTGATCATATACATTTTCTTAATCAAACACAGCTAGTTATTTCATGTGTGTGTTTGTGCTGGTGCTTTGATTTCATCTTTATTACCAATAAAACACCGCTAGTTATTTCGTGTGCGTGTGTTTTGATTTCATCTTTATTACTAATAAAACACCGCTAGTTATTTCGTGTGCGTGTTTGTGCGGGTGTTTTGATTTCATCTTTATTACGTGCAAGATAGTTTGCAGTATTCTCCGTTACTGTTTTTTTTTTCTTGTTAAGTATAATGTGAACTCTAGATTCTGCAACCGACTTGAACATTTGCTACAATAGTGCAGCTTACACCAAATCAGCCCCGTTATATCTATATCATTATACTAAAACACTGAGATTGTTTGTTTGTTTGCTTGTCTGTAATCAAATACAGCAAAAACGGCGCACAGTAGCGCCATATTTGTAATCAAATGAGAATAGAAACAGAATAAAACAAATTTCGTTAAAATCGAGCGCCGAGTTAGCGCCGTTTTTCGGGGTCACTTTTATGAAAATTTCTAGCATGAGTTATTTTACATCACACTACCGTTCGCGCTCTTTACGAAACCTCTTCGTTCAAATCAATTTCCCTTTCAACGTTCCCATCTTCATTAAAAGGTGTAATATGACAAAAACAAGATCTTGAAGAATTTCTCTATAACGTGCCTTAGTTATGGTAGGTAATTCGAAGAAAAAATAAAGTGTTACTATTTCTTATTTGTAAAAGGTTTAAGAGGAAAGACCACAACATAATAAACTAATTCATCACAAT